GCGAAGTCGAGCGTTTGAAGCGGAACATGAAAGTTCAGAAGCAGACAATGGACAAGAAATTTGCGAAGCTCTCCGCCGATTCTGCCCAGAAGGATGCATTTATTGAGAGCAAAGATGCTTTGCTACGAAAAGCTGAAGCGGATAGCCTCGATATCAAGACACAGAACGCTGCCCTTTGGAAGGGAGTGATGTGTTGCATTCCGCACATGACGGTTCTCAAGAAGCAGGTTTGCGAGCTAGAATGCATGTTGTACAATGTGCACCCTGATTACTACAAGATGAGTGACCGTCTGAACGCCGCTGTCGTTGAAAAAAAGAGGCTGAAGAAGAACCTTGATGACTTCCACAGCCAGTTCCTGGCAGGCAAACCAATTTGCTCAGAAGGCAAGTCTATCAGCGAGAGCAATGCGGCCAAGCTGGAGCAAGTCACAGCCTTGTTAGAGGCGGACGATGCCAAGGGCACATACCTGAGGATGATCAACAAAGCTGGCGCCGAAAACGCCAGCCTCAAAGCCCAGCTTGAGTCAAGGATCAAAGACATCCAGTACCTCTACTATCTCAAAGGCCAGTACGACAACAACATGGTCGCTCTATATAATACACACCAATGGATGGTCAATGATGCCGTTCAAGGCTTCATAACAGAAATGGGCATGAGACTGAATCTGCAAGATACTTATGAGTCGCTCAAGAAGGATTTCGAAAAGCTTAAGGCGGAGAAGAAGAGATTAGACAAGACAATGGCGACTGGGAAGCCGAAGCCTAGGACCACCACAAGCTCTTCTCAGCAGGCACTTCTCGCCTTTCCCGGACACTTCGTCCCAGGGCAACACTCAAAGTCCTTTGGCAAAAAGATTACTCTGGACGCGATCTCGAATATGACTGTAGGCTCTTTTAACCTAAATATCCCGCCTCCATCTGAGTCTCCCGAAGAGCAGCCCAGAACAACATCCTTTCAACGCACAGTGCCGGAAGCTAAGACCGCGGTGAAGCAGGATCCCTTCGGTGGCGCCTTCCAGGCCACTACGGATCCGTTCATGGACCGCTTCGAATCTCAATTTCCATGGCAGCAAGCCCAGCCTGCAGGTCCAGCCCAACCGGAGTTCGAGACTAGTCTTAACCAAGAAACGTCCGACTTCCAATTCCCGAACACTTCAAACCCATCCATGAAGCGCTCCGAGCTCCTATTCACACAGCGGCAGGAGCAGAGCGAATATCACCCATCATACGACATACCACCGGAGGCTGAAGCCAAGTCAAAGCAAGAAGGTTTCACTTCTCCATTTTCGGCAACCTCAGGCTCCTTCACACAGCAACCAGCCCCTCAGGCTCCATGGCAACAAAAGATGCCTAGGGACCACGCCGAGCAAGAGACTGAGACTGAGGCTGAAGTCAAGCAGCCTCAATTCAATTTCTCAATTCCCACTACTAGCAACCCCTTCGTGAAGCAGTCCAGGGCGCAGCCACACTCGTCGCAAGAGCAACCCGTGGACCAAGCATCTCAACATACAGTCCCCAAACCCGAGAATGAATTCAAGTGGAACAATTTCACTGGGAGAGCAAGATATCCTACTCAGATATCAACCGCAACCTGGCCTCCAAATGCCACATATGGCAACCCATGGAATAACGACGCAGCTTCCTCCCAGACTTTCCCACCCCAAAACGCAAAATTCTCAAGTATCTGGGATCAGACTTCATTCAAGATGCAGACTGGGTCAAATACAATGGCGGATACCCCACCTGACGTCGAGCAGATCGTTGATCCTGATGTCCAAGGTTCGTCGGTCAACGCCATGGAGCCGTCCATTCCTCATATTACGATAGGAGCTCCTGAATTTATCTTCGACCCTAGTGTTCAAGAGCCACTGCATGAATTCCCACCTTCAGACCAGAACGAATCTTCTCCTTCATCATCCCAAGGGCCCCCAAAGTCACACAAAAACAAGAAAGAAAAGAATAAGCAGCGTACAGCACTCCGCAAGGCAGCCAAAGCCCGTGCCCGTGATACCGGAGCTACAGTCGACGTAGATGGTGACGAGAAGATGGAGTAGTGAGAAGTCGGGTTGGAAGTGTGGCTACTCCTTTTGAACAGTACTTGATGGCAGGACAGGTATGGCGTTGATAGGATTGCAATGAGTGGTGTTTTCATGAGCGTGCTTTATGTTCAGGATTGCGATGAGTGTTGTTTTTATAAGCGTGCATTCATTCCTTCATGCATTTCGTGGATACTTGGATGGGGACGATGTGTCATAGCCGTCTACAAAGTCATCATACGGGGGTGTCTCTTCGGCGAATTTAATGTTGATGGTACCATGGCTACAGCCGAGACATTGTGTTGCCGGTGTCGCTAGTTAGCATGCATGTCCTTAGTAAGACTCTCGAGTCCTAAGACTTACAAAGCACGAATCTAAATAATAAAAACCCATGCAAATGTTTGCTCGAATTATAAAGCTAATGCCACAGTCTCCTGGAAATGAATATGGGAGCCATAGAGTGCAAGGATGGTACTCTTTAATGCTGAAAAATTTAAGAGTATGAGATCCTGAACGTTGTATCACAGTCCTCCTGAGCATGTCCCACTCAATGAAAGTCGAGCATGATCAGTCCTACGAATTAACACCACTCGCCCCCGAAACTTCCTCCAATTAAACCTTCAATTGCTGTTTTTGAGGCTAATGACTGATTCGATGAGACGTTTCTTGGGCTCGCTGACCGGTCAAGCGTTGTTTCGAGTCGTCTTTGGCCTGCAATTGATAGATGGGGGTTGAAATCTAGGGTCCTCGGCTGAATCTCGGAGTTCATAGCCACTATTCTATCTTAGCTCTAGTCTGCCAAGGTACGGGTGCTGACTCATCCAAAAATACTTCCGTAGAACCCCCAAATATTCTTCCTCTAGACGCCCGATCAGAGATGGTATGTAGCCGGTGACTTCGGTGTACTTTTGGGGGCATTAATCTCGAAAACTCCCTGGCCGACCTTCAACAGTCCAACTTCGAAGACCACAAGTACTTTGGGGTTAGCATCGAGAATCTGTGGTCTCCGAAACTGGGCACTCGGAATTCTGAGAGCGCTCAGATAGTACTAGTGCCCTGAATAGACAGTGTTGAGCTCATTATTTCGATGCTGGGACATTGATCTTTGAGGAGTTTCTTTCCTGGGATAGAAGAATGTGTAGTATGAAGAATGATCTATCTGGTCTGTGGTCTATCTCTTTAAAAGCAGTATTAATAAACTTACCCCTATGCCTTCCCATCACAGAATTGCACAACCGCCCACTTCCCACTCCACGCCCATTTCCTAGGACCGTCCTCCCCTCCTCCTCCACCTTCCATAGCCTTAAGCCTCTCATCCTCACCCTCAGGTAGACCAACAACTGTATCAGCTTTGCAAGTCCGCAGTGCCAGTGTACGAACGCCTGAACCAGCGCCCATAGGTCCAATCGCAGTCGTAAATGGCGTGGTAGTCTCCCACATTGCATCTGCAGTCAATTTGCGGTAGTTGAGATCCCCTTTGAATATCATGAGCTCAGACTCCTTCAAGTCCTCGTAGAGCCTGGGCTCAGCCTTTGGTAGTTGCCAGTAGCTGTCGGCTGAAGTCCAGAATATATTCGGGCGAATGATGAGTTGACCTTCCGCTTGGAGCTCACTCCAGTGCCGAAACAAGAGGTACAGGTCTTCTTCCTCGTTCGCAGACAACGGCTGTGGGTGCTTGCCGGTGTCCGGGTCATCAGGAGCGGAGTAGAAGCTTTGAGGATCGGCGAGCGCGCTCAACAGTGCCGCAAAATCGGCTGGAAGGACGTCCGAGACGAACCATGGGATCGACTTGGGATGGAGCACAATCTGTGTAGCCAACCCAGCAGCCAACAAGTACCCCGCCAGAATGAGATCGACGAAGAGTTCAAACCCGGCATTATCCAGCACAATATCCAATCTCCGTTCCCTTTTCCCCGCCTTCTTCGCTTTTATCAGTACTCCGTACGCAGCCGGTAGATCGTTAACCAAGATGTTCTTCTCGGCCTTCTTCCGCGCCTCACTCCCCTGCAGTTTCTGTATATCCTCGTAAGTCAGACTCGTCAACAGGCTCAAATCCGTAGCATTGCCCCACAAACAGATCTCGCACATCTCCGTAAACAGTATCTGCTCGGCCTTTTCTAGGTCTTCGGGGGTTTGGGCGAGGTAGGCATCGTTTTCGAGTTGCGCGATAAGGGCGCTGTACTTTGCAGCGAGCTCGAGGACGGCAGGGCGGGAGGACTTGAATGTTGATAGCTTTTGGCGGGAGAAGACATCGTAGGTGCGCCAGTAGGTTGAGGGGGTGAAGAAGGTGGCGATGCGTCTAGCTTATGCATGTCAGTTAGCGCTGGGCGTCAGGAAGGGAGGAGGGCCATACCGGTAGAGGTAGCATTCTGAGTAAAGCCAGGGTACATCGAACCATTTGGGGTTGCCTAATGCCTCCAATTGTTTGTTGTACTCTGCGATGCCTGGCTGCCCGTCATCTTCAAGTGGCCTGTCGTCATCAGCACACTATCGCGACACGGCGGACCAGGGGCGTTATATCATACGTCAATTGCCGGTCATGTTGTAGCTCGTACTTCAGCTTCGCAAGCCCCTCCAGGATCGTCTTGCCTTCCTTTCGCTTGGCATCATCGTCGCAGGCTACAATGGCACGGTGGACATCGTCAATAGCTCCTGTCTTGAGCTGTCAGCTTGGAGGCCTGTAGGCTGAAGTGGGGTTTGAGCATTCAGTACTGACCACAATGATGGGCCAGCGATCTTTGGCGGAGATGTAGGCGAATGAGGTTTTGTTAGAGGTCACATATGGTGGTGCCGGCTCGGCGGAGTTTGAGCCCATTATGTATTTGTCGATGGTGAAGAATTCGAGAAGCGCAGTGTTCTTGAAGAGTGGGGTGGCTTACAAAAAAAAGACGCAAGCATTGATCATCAGGCGCCATTTCAAAAATGTCATAGAATATAATTTTTATTATGTCGAGTTAACTTTATGGGGATATGGTTTAGTGGTATAACGCTTCTTTAGCATAGAAGAGGTCTGGGGTTCGATGTAGGGTTTCTCCCACCAAATGATCTCTTCCAAAAACTAATAATTTGAACAGTCCCCATATCTCCATCCATCATCTGATTCTTTTTTTGCAATGTTTTTGCTGGAGCATTTAAATTTTGACTTACGAAGGGGGCTATTTAATATAAATACTTGGCGGAAATGCTTCTAGTACTTGGATCATGGGCGTCACGTTGTTTTACTTCATTTTATACACTTTCAATGAGTTCTTTGCATTATGACTGCTTGTACCAAGTTAAACTACTGCCAGCTCGCACGCTAATTCTTGAAGAACGACGCAGAACGCTCACTTCTCAACCTCTCAAGCCCCCATCTCTCCCTACACATGCACTTAATCACATTCCCTCCACTCCCCTAACCTTACCGTCGCCTACTTCAACCACCGGTCTCAAAACCCACCCCGTCCCCCGTCCCAAATACCACCCATTTTTCCTCCCAGTAAAGCCCTTCGTCTCCCTACCAGGCCTGTACGCAAATCCATCCATCCTCAACAAATCCCACACCTCCCTGCTAGTCGGCAATACACTAGGTCCGCCAAACATGCCCTCAAACGCTTTCCTCCGCTCTAGCTCCTCAAACAGTGCTTCCTCCTGTGACGTGCTTAGCGCACCTTGTCGTGACTCTCCGCAGGTGAGGATAGGGAGTTGAGTTTCAGGGTCAGCGGCGCGGAGGTGGCGGTAGAGTATGCGTTCGCGAGCTATCCGACTCTCACGAGCTGTGGTGAGTTGCTCCTCACTAACACCAATCGTCACCATATAAGCATCCCAGTACTCTGCATGCGTCAGCTGCCCACCCCCTGCTATCTTATCGAGCGGTGATTGCGAGGGAAAGAACTCGTGTCGGCAATAAGGGCAGGAATTCTTTGCTGCTCCGTCTGGATGCAACCAGAGTCGGATACACTCGCTTCCTATCAAATGCTGGCACGGTAAGCGAAGAGCAACTTCCGTGGCATAGGTATCCGGGCATATCTTGCCGTATTTTTCTTGGCATATGGGGCATTCACTGCCTTTTGGTAGGTCGGTCTTCGGGACTTTGGGGAGGGAGCGGAGGAAGGATTCTGCCATCTTCAATAGCTTCTTTTTTTCGGGCTTTCTGCGGTATCTGGTGAGGCGGTGTGTGGGGGAGTCGTCGAGGACCGCACGAGTACGAGGAGGAGCTTGAGAGACAAGATGACATCTGATTGCTTGGGCACTGCGTTCAAATATAAGTCACAGGCAGTAAAATCAGCAAAGAGAGTACTGTAATTGTGCAAAATGGCTCTGTGCACAGCGTCATTGTCGGATCCATCGTTCAGGAGGAGAACAAAGAGATGGCCGGGACTTGTTTAAAAAGGAACAAATACGTTGATTACTGGACAAAGCCGCAAACAAAGCCACACGTTACGATCCTCACGGGGAAGCGTCCGCAAAGGCTTCCATTTTGTGCTGCAGAGAGCTCAGGCGAGCACAAGACGGGAGGTGATTGAGCGGAGAGTTTGTCATTTTCCGAAGAATTTGGGCAGATTATGGTAAGATTAGAGCTTGGATCAGCTTTGGATCCACCCACGGCCTTTAACAGCCAGACTCGAGGAACCCCAATCAAGATTAGCAAGTTTTCATTTGTGATTGATGTAGTTCCAGCGTTGCTTCGTAGACGTCTTGCCAAACGCCAGGCTCGATGCTATACATTGCCGTTACTGCACTCCCTAAAGCTCAACATAACGCCCCAAATGGTGTCATGAGCCATCACCCAACCTAGACCTTAGGAATACTTCAACAACATGCTTTCTCCTTACATCGGTATTCTTTCTCGCCTTTCCAGTGAGCGTTGTAGGGAGTCTGATCATGGCGTCTGCGAATATGGCTGCATAGGCCTCATCCACCTCTCGTCGTCTCGCTCGCGCTGGATCATCCTTCGACTTCTGTACAGCCTCCATATCATCGAAGGAGGTTGCAGTACCACGCCTTTGTAGCTGTTGTTGTATTGGGACGACTTCGTTGGCGACTCGTGAGAGCATAAAGGTGATGAAGGTAAAGGAGACGCCGTGAGCTGGCGCCGTCGAAACGGTGTCAAGGATCCACATCCGCTCGTCTTCGTCCGAAAGAGGTTTCTTGACTTTCTCGTGCTCGAGCATGCCTTTCTCAACTTCGGCCCATAGCTCTTCGGTGATGATGCCATCTTCGAGACTCTTCAAGAATTGCACCAAGGTCTCAGCAACCGCTTCAAGCCTCTGTATTGATCCCGACTCTAGCACAAAGAGCTCCGTAAACGGCTGATTGGTATCCAACCCCTCTCTGACCCTCTCCCTGAGGACTCCCCGCTCCTTCTCCTCGCTGACGAAGCCACTGAATGGCCATGCGGCCTCTTTCTCCCACGGTGCCTCGCCTTCCTCGCCTTTCATCTCCCACTCTGCCATCGATCTCTCCGTGAATGACTCTATTGCCTCCGTCAGCCGGAACAATTCGCGCGGAGCCGACCACTTTACCGCATCGTTTTCCTTGTCATCAGGGTGATGATGACTGCTATGATTGCTTCCAGCAGGCCTCTGATGTTGCAACTTCCGTGCACCTCCTTCTGGTATGCGTACTAGCTTCTCGATCGACCGGCCAAAGGCTGACTGCAACCACTTACCGCGTAGGGGAAGGAAGTAGTCGCGTCCGTTGTGGATGCGGAGGACAAGTACGTCTTCGAGGCTGTCTTCGCCTTCGCTGAGGCGACGTACCATATCCATGTCGGTGATGTGGAGGGTAAGTTCAACATTGACGGCATCGCCAGGTTGCAGAGTGTACTCTTGCAAGGCGCCAGGATTGGGATTGTTGTTGTCGCTGGGGCGGTCGAAGTGGATGCTTAGCCAGGGTGGAGAGACGCCACGGGGCTGGCCGGTATCGACGGAGCGGTCTATGAAGCCGACAGTGGCGGGGACTCGGCCTGTGTTGGCGATAGTGACGTTACGGGTTTTGAGGTGGTCGTATTTGACGTGGCCAAAATCAACACCTTCGTATTTGGGACCAGAGTCCGTGTGGGTAGTGTCGCTTTCACGATGGTGGTCTACTACGATGGTGACCACAGGTCGACCTTCGTTCTCTGCTTTGTCAAGTTCGCGAGCCATTTCTTGATGGACTTTCGCTTTTAGATCTGGGTCTACGGCATCGTAGTCTAAGGTGAAGACAGCATCTAGGGGCTTGTGATCGGATGAGAGGACTCGTTGGTGAGACTTGTAGTATTCAAGGTGAAGCCTATCTTCGAATCCAGCTTTGGTCACAACAACCTCAGGATCTGCCGTAGACCCATCGTATTGGTCGTCCGCGCCATCGTTTTCGGGGTCGTAGTCGAATAGTACAGCTTCATCGGTGGCTGCTTCGACAACCCCTTGCAGTTTCATCTCATTGTCCCTCTTTTTTGCTAGTTCCTCTTGACGGACTTTCTCTTCGTAGGCAAACTTGTCCTTGCGAGTCCGATACAGTATTCGATCGCACCAGCTGGGGCCTCTTCGCTTCTCACTCGAATCGAACATACCAACACTGCCAACGTCATACTTGTATGTAGGCAGAAAGTCGATGGAGCCTTCCCTCCAACCATCGTGGAATGCTTTGCGCGTTCGCATTTGGGCGTGTAGTTGATCGTGAGTGAGAAGGGAGGATAACGTAGTTTGCAGCGAAGTGGGGTCGGAATTTGGGTCGTACGCTTCTTGGTTGGATAAAGTGGTGGATGAGGCTACCGATTGTCCAGATGAGCTATCGGCAGCTGTGTGAGTAGAAGAGCTGTCATCTCCAGAGGGCTGATTGGCAGCCTCGAGATTACGATGGAAGGTTGACGACTCAGGATTCGCTAGCTCATGCTCGATCTTCTGTTTTGACGCTTGGGCCTTGCCATACTCGTTCCTCGTATGTAGCATAAGGAGCCTTCGCACATCTTCTCCCGGCATGTCCTCCAATCTGTAGTTGAGGTCACCGAACCAGAAGCAAAAGTCTTCATCTCCGATTCCTTCACCGAATTCTTCCATTACACCTCCGCCATCATATACGGGGTCAAACTTGGTGCGGCTAAGGATCTGTGAAGCATCCCAATTCCGCCGCTCCAAACTACCTTTCTCCACGCCTGCCGTCAGATGGCAATTGACGAAGACCATGCGAGTCGTCTCGCCAAGCACAATTCTTGCTGTGACAGCACCCTTGTTGCCCATGTAGCCTCCAAGACCTGTCCCAACGCTCGTAGTACTGACAGAAGATATTGTTGGCGCGGTGGCAGATGAAGCGTAGATCACGAGATATAGGCCAATCAGCTGCTGCTCAGCTATACGCTGGTAGCCCGGAGGAAGGCCGTCTGCAATTGATTGTTTCCATTTCTTCGTAGGATGAGGGTCGCTGTAAGGACGTAGCGCTTCCGTGACTGAGGATACATCAACAATCTCTTGCAGCCCCAAGGCATAGATGCCAATCTCTTCGCCAGTGGGCGGGAGGCCAGGGTCATTCTCAGGGACTGTAGGCTTTTTCTTTGACCTTCGAGCTTCCTGCTCCCCAACGCTTTCAACAACTGCGTCCGCCTTGTTGTCTTTATTGTCTGACGCCTCTTCGCCTCCAAGCGATAGTCCTGACAGAGACTCCGAGACGCCTTTTCCGTCAACGAACCATCCTCCGATATCCTTCTCTGTCCCACTCAAAGAGGCAACGTTCCATGTCCCGACTTTGACCTTGATCCTCTTCAACCTCGTGTATTCAGCCTTTCGTTCATGGACAGCTTGCGATAAGCTTAGCTGGGAGGAGACGACTGTAGGTGATTGGCCCTGCGCGGGGCTGGATGGGAAGGCTCCGGGAGTAGTATCTATTCTGGTGTTTGGAGGCCGTTGAAGACTGCTATTGGAAGCCATTGTAAGCCAAGTATAGTGCTCTCATCTGGCCAACGCAACTGGTATGATTGACAAGCCTCCGTTAGCCTCCTCTTCCTTCAATCAAGGTCCCATGTTCTGGACGTTGGCACACAGTACTGGGCTTTTTGCAGTCGCCCAGATACTTAATGGAGCATATGTCATAGC